TTTTAACTGCAGAAAAACATTTGATCGTAAAAGATGTTGAGTTAAACAAATATGTATATTTTAAAGATACCTTGACTTCAAAATTTGGATGTAAGGATGTGTTGTTTTGGAATGGAGACTCTGCTTTTGTTCCCACAGAAAGCCAGAGGCTATGGATTTGTTCCAGATTAAGATACATCAGGTTTCACCAGCCAAGATCCCTGAAAGGTCTCCGATGATACCATGGCCCGGATGATCCAACATCCAGAATGGTTTGAAGGCAACTGGCTCAGACAATACAGCCTCATGGACTCTTCCATAATCCTAAAATTTTCTTTGTGTCCCCATAAGATACAGCACCCCCCTCCAGCAGGAAGTAGTAAGGAAAGCTACGCCCAAATTCCCAAATTATATGTAATTTTACTTTGTTAAGGTTAAAACCTTCCTTTTTGAAAAAAAAATAAAAAAGGTGGGGGGGGAAGTGCTGTGGTGCTGTGGGATGTTCTGTATGGCAAATGTGTTGCTCTGATTGGTCAATAAATAAAACACTGATTGGCCAGTGGCTAGGCAGGAAGTATAGGCGTGACTAACAGAGAGAAGAAAAAAAGAACAGGAAGGCAGAAGGAGTCACTGCCAGCCGCTGCCAGGACAAGCAGCATGTGAAGATGCCATGAGCCACATGGCAAGGTATAGATTTATGGAAATGGATTAATCTAAGCTTAATTAATAAGAACAGTTAGCAAGAAGCCTGCCACAGCCATACAGTTTGTAAGCAATATAAGTCTCTGTGTTTACTTAGTTGTGTCTGAGCGGCTATGGGACTGGCAGGTGACAAAGATTTGTCCTGACTGTGGGCAAGGCAGGAAAACTATATATATATATATCCTTGAGCCTTCCTGAGAGATAAACCCAGAGACTTGCCTTCTCTGAAGTTACACCCTTCATCAGTACAATGGGGTTAAGGGCAACTACATGAGCATCGTAGCCACTATTACAGAAGGTTCATAAATATCTAACACTTGGCAGATGCAATATAGAGAAGATAGTAAGATTTCAAAAGAAAATTGTAAACAGTATTTAAAATCGTGATTTTACCCGTGTAGCAAAGTACTTGCGCGAAGCATAGGGCTGGTGATAAGGATTGGGGTAAAGGGTCGATTTAGTCACACTTGGTTGTCTTGAAATCTGCTTTGGTCCTGGTTCCTTGCCTGAGTCTCCCACATTCGTGGACAAGTGGTCAGTCTCAGAGGGTTGGTCATCTCCCTCTTGCTTCAGAGACACTGGTTGGAACCCTTCAAAGCTCCCAATTGTTGACATGTCTTTAGCCTAAAACAAACAAACAATCTTTTCAGTAGAGGATAAAACATGCCATCTGTATCCTGGCAATGGAAAATGAGGTTATGACAAAAGATCTACAGCAAAAGATCTTCCCTAAAAGGAAACAGCCAAACTTTGATCAAAGAGAGGCACCAGTGGATCACACAGGAGCATAAACATCTAGATGCCATCTGTGTGCAGGGCCTTCACCAGAATCGAGAAGTGGGAACTCTCAGGACAGAGAAAAGGAGTCTGTGAGTCATTCCATTCCCTCAACTCTAATACCAGATCATAAGCTGAGCAAGGGAAATATAGCATGAAATTACTGCCAGGTAGTTCCTCTTCTCGATTTCCTAGCATTTTTGTCTAAAACTCTACCTGGCCTTGTTTATATTTAAGAGTGAAAAGGGGTGATAATGTAGCTCCTGGTCAGCTCCAGGGATTGGTATGAGGACATGTGTTTTTCTGAATAAGAATTTCCCCTATAGGCTCATATATTTGAATGTTTAGTCATCTGGAAGTGGTGCTACCTGAAAAGGATTAGGAGGTGTGGCCTCGATGGAGGAAGTGTGTCACTGGGGGTGGTTTTCGAGATTTCAAAAAGCCCAAGCCAGGCCCAGTGTCTCTTTCTCTCTTCCTGCTGCCTGTGGATCCAGATGTAGACCTCTCAGCTACTTCTCCAGCACCATGTTTGTCTGTGGGCCCCCATGTTGCCCAACATGAGAATGAACTAAGCTTCTGAAGCTGTCAACAAGCCCCAATTAAACGGTTCCTTTTACAAGGGTTGCTGCGGTCACCATGTCTCTTCGCAACAACAGAACACTGACTAAGACACGACACCTAGAACTGGGACATTGTCAGATCAAATGTTCCAATTGTAAAATTGTATTGTAAGGAAATAGTTTTAAAAAATGTCCAAAGACACACACACACACACACATACAAAACACCGTCTGTTACAGGTACGTAAGTTCTCTCATCACAATTTATTGTAGGATAAAAGGTCCCAGTTTCCAGTTTGAAAACTCACCAATCCCCAGGTTTGCCTCAAGCTCACAACTTGAAATCCCACCAATCCCCAACCTGGAAATCTCCACCCTGGAAGGCTTTGCCCCCAAGAAACCCTATATAATAATCTGCCTCCTGCTCAGTTCCCTGCTGCTTTTCACCCAAGCAGAGGCAGCCACCCTCTCGTGTCTTTCCCAATAAATCTCTCGTGTGAGGTTTATTGGGTGGTGTGGTTTTGTGATATTCCTTGGCACCTGACTGCTAAGATACCTTTCCTTTCAGAGCTGTACTACGAACAATTATGACTAGTAGAGAAATACTTAGTGCTGTCTAGTGGGCCAGCCTCTATGCAGCTCAGGGATCAAAGGGAATCCACAGTGCTGGCAAAGCTAACACTGTTCTATCTGAGGGGCTTAGGGAAAAGACACACATACATTCTCTTGATCATTTTCTTCTTTATTTATCAACCTGTTCTGATGAACTGACTGGGCTGGATTGGGCTGGGGTCCCTCACAGCCATACAAAAATGTATTTATCAATTGTTACATAAGGTATTTCCTCATACTAAGGTTCCTAACCTTAATTAAGATGTCTTAATGAAGGGAAGCATTACATGCCTCTAAGACTCTAGTCTTTTATTAAGCATGGTTTACAATACACAATAATACTAGAGGCTCAGGTGTACCTGAGGTATCATGTGACCAAGGCCATAAGATGGCTGTAATGCCCCCTCAGCAAAACAATCATTGTTTTTCACAAGGATTCTTTAAGGTCAAGGTACTTCTAAAAACCATCTGTTCATTCTAATCTCTATCCCATACAGTGATTTTAGTAAATTCCTACAGAGTACAGGTGGCATGTTTTTCATCTCCCTTACACGATTAAAAACAAAATCATCCCAATATTCCATATACATTTATGTCTAAGTAACTTATTGCAGATCAGCAGAACATGAGCAGACAGAAAGCAGCTTTTCACAGCCCACTCCCTTGCTGGCAGGCTGTGTACTGTGGCTACAAAGGAAGAATCAAACATTCTACTGTCTATCTAGAAAGTTAATCTTAAAAGGAATCCTAAAGGAATCACAAATTTAAACTTTTGCACATAAATGGCAATTAGTCAGCTGTACTTCAGCTCTTTAGGGTGTATATCAATCTATCACTAGTTTCTTATATCAGGTGACTGAGGGCAGGAATGGGTACAAGGGGTTAATCATCACCTTTGATCAACATAACAGTTGGGCTGCTTTGTATTTCTTAACCTCAGCTATGAGTATAGCCATTAGGTTGTTCTCTATGGGTTTTTTTTTCATCTTAAAGTTATTATCAAAACATCTGATCTAACCTGAAGTTATTAGAAGACTTAGTTTTAGCAAAATGATGCACACTGAAAACTAGTGACTGCATCTGTTCAGCATTAAGAGAATTAGAGCCAGTTTGGCTCCCAAGAAGTTTCAATTATTATCCTTAATCATTAAAATGAGCTGTGACCTAAAGCAGCTCCTTCAGGGGAACTCATAGGGCTTAGCTGTGAAACATAGCCTTGTATATACTTTTACTCATCAGAGCTCTGTATAAGCTAACATCGTTATCAATTAGACAGTATATCTTAGGGAGGAAGTCATCTCCATAATAATTCACAGGTAAAAATGCCCAGTAAGACAGGATATTTCCATGAGATAAACACATTACCTTACAGGCAGTGGGGAATTTCCCCACACCCAATTCAGCCATTCCAGATGTCAGAGATAGCAACAGCAAGCATGCAAAGGCGCAGCAGAAGAAAAAGATGTTCCAGGGCCTGTGGTCTCAGGTGCCTTGTCTACCAGAGAATTATCCACCAGGGGGGGTTGCCTCCTGGTGGGCCTACACCCTGACTCTCAAAAGTCACCCATGGCCTCCCTGACATAGAGTAATGTCAAGCATTCACACACACACACACACAAATTCAATTAATTGGATTTAATACCAAATAATTGAAATGAAACTAAGTATGTACTAGTAGAGAACAGGCCTTAGAGTCAAAGCATATGCAGCCATTAAAATATGAAATACACTTTATCATAGAAGGATATCCAAAATATATTTTATGGAAAGAGGAAGTTATCATACATGAATCATAATGTTCGATTGTCTTCAAATCGATCAGAGAGAAAGGAAGAAAATACTACACCTGTATTTGCCAATGTGTATATGGCTGGCCAATATCTGAAACTGAAAAAAAAAACAATAAAATGTTAAAGGTAGTTCTCTCTTCATGATAATGCCGTTGCTGCCTCTCTCATTTTCAGTCTCTGTGTCTCTGGGTGCTAACAAAATAATCACTTAGCATTTAAATAAAAATGATAAATTGATTTCTATCTGTAAAGCTTTTTTTAAAATTAGGAGAAAATAGAAGAAACATGCAGGCCCAGTTTAAAGTCTGCCTGATCTAGTGCTCCATATTCTAGGAGTGCAAGAAAGCCATATAAAGGCTTTGCCTACACCTAGGTACTTTGTCCAGTTGTCCAGTTGTCCTTCCAGGAGGTCAGCTACTAATGTGTTCTGGAAGGCGGCTTCATGTCTAGTTCACCATTGGGAATGACATCCTATTCTCAGAGTTGCCTCTATGTTCTTAATCAAATAAAAGGTGGCTCTAATTCCATTTCCTCAGTTCTTGTGAAATGCCAGAAAGTATGGGGGGGGGAGCCTCCTTTGCCAGCATATTTTCACCCTGAAAATTGAGACAAACTAGAACATTCAAGAGAGGTAAAAATAGCATGATCACACAGCGCGTTGTAGAGCCCTTGCCTCCTAATTGAAACATTGTCTGTGGGAGGGAGGAGAGAAGCTCATACAGCTTCCAAGGCTAGGGAAGCTCAGAAAGTTATAAAGTCACAAGGCTCCTAGCCAAGGTTTTATAAGAGTAACAACAGCTGGGGGAGGGGACTTTCCAGCCAGCCAAGCAACCAGCAAGTTGTGCAGTGAGCTCCAGGGAGGTAGCTTTCATGCTAGGCTGGGCTTTTCTGATGCCACTGACTTGGAGCCAACCATACTCCTTGGAAGTGAAACCTCGCCTGTGCTACCCTAAGTAATTCCATCCAATAAACTCCACCAAGGTAGACTAGGACGGCATCAGTTCTCTGGTCAGCTGTTGGAGCCCTGTTGGAGGTAAATAGACTTTGTTCACATCTCTCCACTTAAAGTAACCCGAGTGCATTGCCTAACTCTTAAGTATTTTGGCGTAAGATGATGCCATTAGCAATTATGTCAGGATGGTAGGAGTAAACAGAACCGTCTCTGGCGACTGTGGATGTCACTCTGAGGAGGTTGAAGTCAGTAGGAAATACAGTTGGTGAAACTCGTGGATTGCCATCGTCGGCAGCTCACATTCAAGTTTATCTTAGCTGACCCTCACAACCTGGGCAGTCTTGATTCCTCCACACACATCCTTCTAAGGATGCAGAGTAGGGAGGCACCACCTAAGGCGTACTTGGCAGTTTTGCTGACATGCTTTTGAGTCCAGCTTGCCCACCATAATGCCCAGGGTCCTGCTCACAGGAAGGCCTTCCTCAAATATCCAGGTAATGTCTGAAAAGCAGGTTCCCAAAGGTGGAAATTGGCCCTTATTGTGAGAACAAAAGGTATGGAGAAGCAGGAGAGAGGCGGGGAGCAGAGAGACAGAGAGACAGAGGCAGGCAGAGAGAGACAGAGAGAGGCACTTTGGCCTTGCTAGCAGTTCTGTACTCTATTTATGCAGGTTGGCCACCTCCTTCACAGTGGGTGTTGGAAGGAAACGCATTTCCAAAGTTCCCATGAAGGAAGGTTTGTGTCACTGGGAAGGGAAGCCTGCTTCTGTATGTGTGCACTCTGTGAACACACGCCTAACAACAGACATCTGCTAGAAGCTCCTGTGCCTGGAAAACAGAGGGAGGATTTAATTAGCACCACTTCCTCTCCCTCAGGCTGTCTTCTCTGGAAACACTTGGGGAAGGCAGCACTTCGGAGATGGAACTGTCTGAG